ACATAGCAAACTGCTATAAGTGAGTGGTGTCATTTAAGTACTCTATATTCCATTGTATTATTATATATAGAGTTATTGCACTAATTCATCATGCTCTAGGAGACAGTAAACTAGTAAGTGGTGCATGTAACTACATGTATGTGCATGCCATGTACATGTTAATGTATCGACTGGTTGTACATGTAGTTTAGTTTAAATGACTGATACCGAGTTAAGATGTTATGCATGTTCTATAAAGTCTATTCACTTTCACCTGATCCCTGGTTGTTATCAATTAATAATAGAAGCTGAATTTGATTTGGCTGTTCTAGCTGCGTAATTTTGGTCAAGGTATATCATTGAGTTTATAGAGGGACATCCAAAAAAGGCTACGGCCTTGTCATTTTGATCCGTTCTTTTCTAAGGACTGGAAGGACCTAGCAATTCTAATGGCACAAACAAAATTTCTAAATTCCTGGATTATCAAAAGTTATTACAAACAAGCGTAACAGTGTAAAAGTATTACTATAATTGATTTCACCACCTAGCATGTACAGCTGGGTTCTTATTAAAACTTAAAGAGGTTTTCTCTACCTTCTAATCCTTCAAGAAAGGTCTTGAGACTGTACATATGTTCTTTTGCTTAAAAACTTATAACTTTGTCCTATGTGTAAGCCACCATTTTGTTTGCTCTGACTACTTAAAGGAGCGTGGGAGGGTGTTTGCTAAGGCTTATGAATTTTCTTATTTTCCAATACAACATGTATAGAATACAAGTGTGGACATACAAATATACAAGCATCGCATGTGGGTGAAATCAATTATACATGTAGGAACGACCAGGGGACTACACCCCCAGGTCGTTAAAAATCACTAAGTCAAATGAAACTGAACAGACTTTAGTTCAAAACGCTTTAAAACTTTATTAATATTTTAATTTCTTTACAAGGTAGCAATTAATTATTTACTCAATTGAAATTTAATTTTAAATTGACTTGCTACATTTTATCTCTCTCTTTTTTCATCTTCAGGCAATATCATATCAGCACAAAACTGTCATTATGTATGAGAGACTGCTAGGAGTTGACCACTGCAGCTCTATATCAGCCTATGTTAGTTATTAATAACTGGCCACACACACAATATTTATTATAAATTTATCGCACTATTAGTTCCCCACAAAGCATGCTAAGTGAGCTAAAAGGCATGCTTTATGAGCTGACAAGCCTTTGAAATTCATAAAAAATTCAAATTTGATTAGAATGAGCTCAAACTTTGATACATCATTAGGACATGTATATGTATCAGAAACATGTCTCTTTCAGCAATTTTTGGCAAAATTTTGTGAAAAACCAAATTCTTTGGCATTGGCCCCTTTTTTAGCAAAATTTAAAAATTAATGAAAATCTGATTTTGATCAGAATGAGCTTCAACTTTCTGTACAACATATGGACATGTTATGAGAAAATTATAAACACAGAGAATTTTCTCCTAAGTTGTTTTTGGCAAATTCTGGCCAAATACCATGTACCATGTCTTTGATCCAATTTTAAAGCAAGTTTTAAAATTTATAAAAATCCAAATTTTGACTAGAGTCTGCTTAAAATTTTTACAAAGTATTAGAACTTCTATATGTATCACAAAGTTTAATAAAAATTTTACCTTTGCAATGTTTGATTAAATTTTGGGAAAATACATTGTGAAATATTTTATCAACATTTGGAACAACTTTAAAAATTCACTGAGAGCATTATGTCAAAATCCTGTGGGAAACCATGATCATGATAATTTCAACGACTAAGCCCACCACTGATTTTTTTCTTTATATAGTTCCATTTGGCTTAGTATTGCTGTGTGGCTGAGAGGAATGTTGTGGCGTTGAGATTGCTGTATAGAGTTAGGTATCTAATAATGTTAACACATGGTGAGGATCATCCTGAAATGTCTAATGTTGATGTAAGTATTGTTTTATCAATGTTCTTTTGTTTCATCATACACATGTACATGTATTGTTTAAAAGTATTGTAAATTTTGTATCATAACTGTTGTTATTTATTTTAATTACATTGAGTAGTTTTACATTGGTTTACTACTGAGTATTGCTTGTCATTATGAAGA